CGCAGTCCGCCCCCCCCCCCCCCGCCATCCCAGACTGCAGCCTCCTTGGTTTAGGTACCCCAGGGACTGAGCTGGTGGCAGAGCTGCTGCTTCTTACGTTGAATCATGATGTACTTCAGTAAGTGCGTGCATCTCTCTCTTTCTCTGTGCTAGATGTCATTCTTCGTGGGAGTCTGGATAAATATTTCAGTCTGTAGGAGTTCAGGAGAGCTAGGTATCTCCTAGCAACAAGCATCCCACTCTCTGCCTCCTGCTTCTCTTTACTTTTAATAAAATACCGGTGAAGACCAGAAACTGAAGCATTAAGTTAATTTTCAGAAATATTTTGAGCTGCTTAAGATATTTTTGTTATGACACTACGTCAGAGCAACAAAGATGTTGGTGGGGGGGCTGGCATCTTGAGTAACTCCGCTTGCCTTGTTTGAACAGAAATCACAATCAAAGACTAGCAAAAACTTTAGCTGAGGACAGAATAAACCTTATGATCACAGTTGTTCAGTGAGTAACAGAATGCGTAGCAGGTGCTCCTTTGGTCCTGTGTAGCACTTACACTTAACCTAAACCAAATGTATTTTAAGCTGTATTACCTAGTTCATCTTGCAGCTTGTGATGGCTGCTGGTACAACAGTGGCTTATGTTGGAATTTAAAGTTTTTTAACTTTTTTACAGCCAACTTTGTGGCAAAGTGTTTTGGCTAGTTTCAGTTATAATAGTACAGAACTCAGTTTACAAAGATCGTGGGCGCTAGACCCCAAGGCAAGAAAGGTAGGCACTCAAAGTGCAGTTTAGGTAGATTTTTGTCTATGCTGATTCATTGCAGTGCTGCACTGAATTTCAGCCTCTCCTGTCCCTTATTGATTTTAAAATGTTGAGGACTGTTGCAAATCTGTAGCTCGTGGCTAATATATATTTTATCTGTAGCTTCTGCAGAATGCTTTATGGAGTTTATGAATTTCCCTGCAAGAATCAGAAACATAGGAGAAAAGTATGTGACTACTATTAATATAAAGGTAGCCATTCTCAATACTGGGTTGAGGATAACTTGTGTTCCTCTGTCTCCGAACGCTGCTGAAACCGTGCTTTCAGTGATCCTGCCTTAGCTGATGTTCACGGTGGCCTTCATGAGTTTGGGAGAAGTTGCACTCTGTCGTCGGGGAAGTTTGGTGTGACTCAGGGCCTTTGAAAGGGATTGCAGAAGTGTAAGTGCAGTTTTAAGAGCTTTCAAGAAGAAAAGTGCATACTTTTAAAGTAAAATAAATGATGCAAGAAGGTGATTAAGAAACACAATTATGCCTAAATATGGGGTTTGCTTTGTAGAGGGAAAAGTTAATAAGTCCTGATTCAGCCAATGACTTAACTTTGTGAATGAGTTGGTCTTTTCCAAATGTACATTCCCATATCTGTCTGAATTAGAAAAGGGGGAAAATAGCATGAGGAATAATTTGTAACTGTATTAATGTGAATTTACTTAAGTTAGCAGTATGTAAGAGAGATGTGAAGGTGGTACCAGTATGAACTTCTTTTAAAATGAATTAACGTGGGTTTATATGTTAAAAAAATCTACTATTTGTAGAGACAAGGGCACCTCCACACACATAGTGGCCTCTGTTTGTCTAGAAATATGCTCAGCGTGATTATGCTGAAACCCTTCTCATGTTCCTTACTCTGGTCTGTGATTCCTGCTCAGCTCCGCCAGTAGGTATAGAGATGCTGGCCAGGGTGGAACCACCAAGGCATTTATTCTGATCAAGACAGGTTTTTGAAAATGGACTAGGTGTTGTAATTTCTGTTTTGGTTTTCTTATTCTGTAGGGGAAAGAATCTAATGTTTGGCATCATTCATAAGCTTTATAAAGTACGGGGTTCTGAAGACATGATTTTAAGATGATGGTTAACCTTTGGCTGGAAGTGGACATAATTCTGTGTTTCCTACTTAAATTTCTTTCTTTTGGTTGAAACTGGTGGTTTGTTAGGTGCTCTGCTCTCTGATTACTTAAAGAGCCCTTTTGACATAAAGGTTTTGAATCAGGGATATTGTGTGGTTGTCTTGTTGGGTAGATTTTCTTCTGGCATAAAAAGCACTTGATACAAATGGATGATGGTTCTATTTGGACTTTGATGTCTGTTTTCATATTTGTGATAGTAGGAACTGAGATTTCACAGTAAGCTGCTGAAAACCAAAGTCTAGAGCAGGCTTCACAGCAGTAACAGATGTGGCGGAATGGATGCACTAGATCTGTAAGGATGGACAGTCCTATTTTTATATGCATTTTGAAGTAATTTCATCTGAAGCTTTTCAGCTCTTCTGAAAATGAGGCAACAGGAATTGTGGAATTACTAGTTGGACGCCATTTTCAGATAAACCGTTTACTCTTCATCTTGTCCCCAAAAGCAGCCTATAAGAGTTGCGATGACGAGGCCTGTGGCCTATATGGGTGGCAAGTGCGCATTGGCCGCCAAAGTCAATGCTCTTGGTCACGGTGTTGGTCAGTGCTAGGGGCCAACCCCTGTCCCCCCCGTGCACCGTGGTGGAGCAGCTTTGGGGGGGGGGGCACTGCTGGAGCTCGTCGTGTGCCTTGCCGGTGCTCAGCGAAAAGGAGGACAAGCAAAAGCCCTTCCATGGAGGAGAGCACCCCAGCGGTGCAAGGACGAGGGCAATTCAGTGCTTGATAAACTGCGCAGACCTGAAGAGAATTAATAAGCTAACCCAATTATTTGTCGATGCTAACAAAAGTAGCTTTTTCACGGGGAGGGCTGTTGTACATGATTTGCACAGCGAAACCAGCTGTGGCTATGGCTAGTTGGGTAGCGGTGTGTTAGCGGTTTGGAAACACATACCCTGTTTGCTCTGTCGCCATAGCCACGGTAACCTAATAGAACTTCAGGGTTTGTGTGTAACTTGAAGCTAAGTTGTGTTGTAGGAGCGTGTGTGTCTGTGTGCGTGTAGGGAGGAGTAATGGTGAGAAAACTGGAAGAACTGGAAACAACGACAGGTCAGACTCTGTCTTCCTCTGACAGAGATCCCATGAAGCTTTTGAATATATTGCATTTAATTTTAAAGAGCTTGAGGACTGTGTCATTTCCTGCTCAGGTTAGATAACCATATCATGGATGTCCAGGATATGGAAAACCTGGTCCACTTGTCCCATTTTTGGACATTAGCACAGGGAAAGAGCAGCTAGAAACTCAAAGGTGGTTCTTCAAGTATGCAATTAAAAAAAAAAAATCTTCTTCATGAAATGGAAATTTTGAAGCAATCCAAATAATGCCAAGGGACATTAAACAACAAAGGGAAGGAGAGTCTACAAGATGCATGGGAGATGGGACAAATAGTGTACAATAGTTAACATGCTCTAAGCCTACCGTATTTAGTTACATTTAGTTAGATCAGTGTTTGCAGTGATTTTGCTACCTTTTATGATTCATATGAATATTTGGAACTTTTTTCTATTAACGTTAATATTTTCTTAGCAATCAAATTAAGTGCATGGTGTTTAGTTAGCATAATAGTAGCACAGTATATGAACATTTACTAATTTTACATGCTGAAGGGAGCTTCTTGTTGTGTTTTCAGTGTAAAATTTGCTTAGTGTTTGGAAACCTGTTAGTCGTGTTGTTGTATATACAGCAGTAACGAAATACTGGGTTGTGGTTTAAAAGCAGGCAGGTGATGCTCCACTGCTATTTTGAAGGATGACCTTATTTTGAATGATATAAAAATAACAACAGATTGTTTATAATAACTCTGACAGCAGATTTAGATTCTTGACTTCACACCATTTCCATTAGTAAGAGAGACATATGTAAGTAGCATTTGCTTCCAGATATATGCATGTATTCTGGCAAGAGGTTTAAGACATACTGTCTGTTATTTAAATTTTGGACATCTGAAGCTTCCCCCCACCCCCACCCCAGGCTTTAAAAAAGTTAGACTACTAGATTAGTATATTTTCTTAAACCTGAAGGAGCCTCCCCAAAGTATAATATAGTATTTAAATCTCAATATACATTTTTATTTTATAGATTCACATGGAAACATAACTAAAATAATCGTGTATCCATAGGAAACCTTTCAAGGAATAAGTATTCAAATTTTGTAATGGTCTTGCACAGTTATTTCCCATGGCTGGAGTATTGACTGAGCTCACTAATCAGTGTATTTTGGCTTTTAATGTGTTATTGTCCAGATCTGAAATAGTATTTTTGGGAAACACATTTTGAAATACCAGTAAAGAATATTTGCACTCGGTAACTGCTGGGAAGTTTACCTGTACAAATGCAGGGTACTGAAATATAATGGGCCCTGAAGACTAATTAAAGCAGTTGGGATTTAGTGTGTTCAAGTAGCAGCTCAGAAATTAAAGACACTGAGAGCATTGACTGAAATCATTAGTTAAGAGGAAACATAAGGCTTTCTCCAATATACTTTTTGTTGTATTTATCCAGTTTTATTTAAAGTGCTTATAAACTTACTGTTCTTCTGACCTCTGTTTTACTGTGGAATAGATGTCTATTGTTAGGTTTTTATTTACATATGCAATAATATTTGAGAAATTAATGAACCTCTAAGAAAATACATCCATTAAATTATTTCATCTTTTCTTTTTCAGGATTGAAGTGGATCTAGGGACAAATGGATGACTGAATATTCATATGAAGAGGAAAGCCATAAAAGTTGGTTGACATTTTTACAGCCATATGCATTATACATATTACTGCTATTATCAAAAATTTATATTGTGTTACAAAATGTAATAGATGAAATAACTGGTCTGAGCTTCATATGCTGTATTGTCTTTCAGGCAGGGGAATACTGTAGCGTAACACAGCTGTAGCTTAACGCAACAGTTTCTGACCAAACCTGAATGTTCAAAGCAAAACCTAGTAGTACGTTAGGGACATAGGTAATTCCTTTGCAGCCAGGTGCTTGAATGGGCTGATGCACAGTGGTGTTCATTATTCTTATGTGCAAGGATGAAGGGAGAGTGAGAGAGGCGTTGTCTTCCATTACAGCTGCTGGCTATGAAGCTTAATATGTTGTGGAGTGGCACTTGGATGCCACATTGACAGATGCTCTTTAAGAAGTCAAATAGGATATGATATCTTTGAAAGTATCTTGGTGCTTTGTTTTCTTATCATAGAGAGATGGCTGTCTTACAGCATGTATTTCTGTGCTAGTTAAAAAGGAAGAAGCTGTTAGTGGACCTCTGTGCTTTACTGACTTTATTGTTGTGCTTTGTAAGATGATAAAATTCAGTAGGCCTTGACGTCTGTCAGTCTGACTTATTGGTGACTGAACTATAGGCTTTGGCTGGGATGCTATGTTAACCGATTCCTGCCAGGGCTGTTTAAACAAAGCTGACTCTGCCTGTGGGTTTGCACTGGAGCAAATGAATTGTAATGACAATTGCAGGGTGCGGTGCAATGGGATACAGGGCACAGTCCAGCAGGATGCTGCACAGCAGCTCAGTTAAATAAGGCATTCTGGAAACTCTCTTAGTCAAGGAGGGATATGTTATGGTGGAAAACATATTTTCTAGATAGCTTTCTTCAACCCGTGAGTCTCAGTCAGGGGTGGGAACAATCAAAAAAACCAGCAAAACCTGTGGATTTTTTCAGAAGTGCAGTGTCAGTTCAATACCAGAAATGTAAGTCTATAGTTCTATTAACTTGAGCAAAGTAGTTCAGGAGGACAAAAATTCTTATTTATCTTAGTGATAATTTGGTTTTATCAATCTTTTAGTGGTTCAAATTTTGCAGTTTATCAACAACTGACTTGGATACAGAAGAGCTTAATTCCTTCTCAGGTATGCTTTTTTAGTGTTTACAACAGGTAGTGGACATGCTTATCCTAGCTACCTCTGGATCCACAAGCAGCATAAGACTTGAGGAAATCATCTGTGTCCTTGAATCCTGTCTCCCAAAATGACAGCCAGTGAAACAATCTTTAGTTCGGAAGCATCCACAGAACATCTGCTTTGTATACCACAGGTCCCAGAAAACACCTCCAGCCTCCAGGAGCCAAATTTAAACCCTAGTAGAGACAGCTAGTGGTATTAGTAACTCTGCAGTAATGTACACAGTTTCTCTTTGGGATCAGGGACCTGTATGCCCAGATAGGAACCAGCAGTTGTTGCCTGCTGAAACCAGCACACAAACTCTGAAGGAATTTCTCTTTGGTTTGATGGCTGATGTGTCGGTGGCTGCTGTCTATCCCTACCAATGTCTGATAGCTCAGGATGAGCTTGCATAGTGGGGGAGCAAACACTTCCCCGCTCAGACCTGTTGGCTATGAATAGCAGAGTGAAAAACTGATACTGTCCAAATCTTGCTTGCATCTTCCAGAACTGCAGTGATAAAATCCTGTATGTACAAACTCGGGAGGCTCTTTACTGGCAGAAAGCGTGAGAGGGTGCAAAGACCAAACTAATTATCTGTAAGCTATCTCTGGATATCATTATGTTATGGTGGACTTCTCATGCTATCCAGAAGACAGCACAGAGCGGTATTGCCATAGCATGGTAATGTTTTGCATTGAATTGAGGAGAAACTGGGTCAGACTAGAGGACCTTCTTAAGTATTTGGCTTGGGAAGTGACACCAGGGCAGAAAAAGTTAAGGATTTGTCAGATCCTTGAGAGGGGCTGTTGTAACTAGAGTCTGCGCAGAGGAGGGAGGGCTTCCAGGTCAGGCAAATGCAAAAGACTCTTGCACGCGCGTGGCCTTTTCCCAGGTTCCTTGGGAAAGACTGTAGTTGCATGGGAGATGCAGTACTGCTAGCTTTGTATCTCTGTTCCTCTCTCTGCTTTTGCCTTTCTGGTTCAACACAGAGTGGTAGCAGAAGGAAGGAAGAACAGGAGAACAGGATGACCTCTTCCACATCGAGCCATAGTTCCACTCCCTCATGTCCTTCTGATGACATACTGCAGTAATTGTGAGGAAGCTGTGCAAAAGATGTGAAGATAAGGAGGGGGATGCTGAGTAATTTCTTTACATGTTTTCTGTTTGGTAGTCTTTGCAAACATAGGGCTCTGAATCCAGCTGTTAATCTTTTATGTTAGGAAAGTACCATGATTAAGTCATATCACTGAACACGAAAAAAATGTGGTTGTATGGAGGAATTCAAAGTTTGAGGCTAAAAATTCCTTTTGTGGGAAGACTGATTCCAGAAAACTTAAGCAATAGAGGTGGAGAGGGCTCCTCTGTGGTCACTATTAAGATCAGTTGATAAAGTTCTGGCTCCAGTAGGAAAGAGATTGGATTTCACTCAGCACCCTGCCTCAGCCTTTTACTTTATTGCTGTTTTGCTAACCAAGTTGTGAAAGCTTTCCATTGCTAACATGAGTATGTTGGTATATCGTTGGGGGGTGTAAACAACTTGGGTTGCATCATGTGTATGTTATATTGGTATATTTTAGGTCTTTGGTCTGCCTCAGACCATATAATAATATACGTAAATGTGGTTTTATATAAATAACTGACATCTAACCATATATGCAACTAATGAAGGAAATATGAACATAAATTTTCCTGTCTCAAAATGAGGTTAGATGAATCTTTCCGAGAACAATGAGAAATATGCAAAATAAACCTGATAGCATACATGTATATTGAATGCACATAGCTTACGATGCTTCTACATTTCCCATTATAACAGTGACTGAATCCAGAGGTTCAGTTCTCTGTTGAATCTGATGTTTGAAGTTTACATTTTTCAGTCTACAGTGACTGAATGTGGGTGTATGGAGATGAGACCAGGGTAGGAGCTGGTAAGGAAATGGGTAACTGACAGGGAGGAACTATAGCTCAGAAAGTCTCCGGCAAAGTAAAGATCAAGACTTTAAACCAAAAACAAGTGGGCAGGGCTGAAAGGAGGTCAGAGAGTGAAATTAAAGGGGAGGAGAGGTTGCTCAGATTGGAAAGGCAGGTCTGGGTTGTACATAATGAGTGGTCTTGGGTGTAGTCTCCCACTCACACTGTGGTTTCACAAACAACTTGCAGAAATACTACTGGGCAATTCATTAGATCAGGTGTAATGATGTTCTAAGTTACTTAATGCTCAAAAAATGGTAAACAGCACAGAGCTGTATTGAATTCAGTGGTGTTAGGAGATGACTGCTTATTTTCTAAAGAGGTCTATGGGATAAGCCCAAGAATATTGCTGTCTCACGAATGTAACCTGTGTTGTATCTCTTAAAAAAAAAAAAAAAAAAAAAAAAAGGGAAACTTTGGCTCAGCTGTTTAGAGGGAGGAACTCAATACAAGGGGGTGTTTCTTGAACTCTTCAGAGCTCACCCCATCTCAGCAGTCTCCCAACCTCTGATGTGCCCTTGCCTCACCTCCTCTGACTCCTGTGCGGAGCAGGGTGCAGGAGGGTGCCCGTCCTCTGAGCTGCCGGCTGCGTGCGTGGTGCTGTGCAGGGGTACTCAGCTGATGCAGTGAGGGCAGGGCTGCCCTTCAGGGTGACATTGGCAGCTGGAGAAAGGAGCTGGCAGGGACCTCATCAAGTTCAGCAAAGCGAAAAGACCTGCACCTGGGGAGGAACAACCCTGTGCTCCACTGCAGGCTGGGCAAGCCCCTGAGTTGTCTCATCTGACTTTGGAGCTACCCTGGTTTTGGATGCAGTTTGGACTCACGGGACTTTCAATCTTTACTTTCTCTGTGATTTTATAGTCTGGTTTTGAAATTTTTTAAAATTTTTTTTTTTTAGTGTATTTGAGTGTGCTTTGAGGAACTTTTGTGTTTATATTTGCATAGTCAGAATATTAGTAGCTGTGTGGTGATATGTTTGGGTTTTGTTGTCAGCTGTCCCCTCCGTATCTATTGCAAACAAATGCAGTTTTCCTAGAAAGTAAGTGATTGCTCTTAAGCAGTCTTTCACATCTAATGTCATTCAGTGGATTCTTGGAGTATAATTATGACTAGAAACATCAACAGGGTAAAATATATTAATCTCAAGGGAGTTATATTGCACTGGCCATCAATCTATCCTTTCTGTCATGTGCTTTTCAGTTTAGATTACTCTCAGGCAAACAGGCTGTAGTTTGATGTTTTGTCTCAATTCATTATGATTATAAATATCTTGGATAAAACAATGTAACAAACGACCACTTAAAAATGACTGATGGCCCCATTCATCAAGGCAAGGAGACTGAAGTTCTTTTGGTTTCATCTGTTGTCTAGCATTTATCAAGATGGGTCCCTTAACAGTCCATTGGTGGTTGATATTTAATGAATATTTCACAGTGTAAATAGATAGCAGGCCGTTTGTTGTCTGGAGCCCAGTCATATTCATAGGACAGATCTGCTTTTACTTACTGTCACTGAAAAATGTAAAACTTACGCTGAAACTGTAGAGTGGGAGGAAAACTTTTCCCCAAGCCTTATATTCAGGAAAGGGAGGAGCAGCAGAGATTTTCTTTCTTTTTCTGTTGCTTACACAGACTGCCACATACTGTGCTGTCTCTTGCTCCCATCCTTTCCTGGCACCCGGTGGGGCTGACGGGCTGCTGGCGGGCCATGCACTGTGAGCCCTGTAGCCCCCAACTTTGCTTATTGCCAGCTCAGCCCCCTGGGAGTGGGGTGAGGTGGACTTGGAACTGATCCCCATGGCCGAAAAATTGCTTGGGGCATTTCCAACACTGATCTTTTCCAAGGAGAAAAAGGCATTTAAGA